CCGCCCGCACATCGGGGGCTGTGCCCCTCGCTGAAAGGGGGACAAGCTGACACCCCCCACCCCCAGGTCTCGCAGGGGAGTTTTGTCCCCCCAGCACCCCCCCCCTCAAGCCCAGGCCCCGGCACATACAGGCTGTGAGGGTCCAGGCCCCAGGAGAGCACCCCAAAAGCGGGGGGTTCTGATGGGGGTGTGGGGGTGGCCCAGCTCTGGGGACAGGCTGGCCGCGGTTTAGCTGTGGGGGGAGTCTCGGTGGGTTTGCAAAGGGGACCCTGAGGGGATGGGGGTGCTCGGGGGACGCAAAGCCCCGGTTGAACCCTGGCGGCGGTCGGGGTGGAAGCGGGGAGCGAGGCTGGAAGCGGGTGGAGGAGATCCAGGCTCTGGGATCTGAACAGCACCGGCTTTTCCTAAGGCACCAAGTCCCAGATTCCCTGAACTCCAGGCAGACACGGGTACAAGAGGCACCACCACACCCTGAGCACAACGTGGAGGGGCCTGGGACCTGCAGGGGGAGGCAGGGCCGGTGTCTGAAATCTCCAGTCGTGCCCCCCCCCCCGGCCTCCCAAACACTCCCAGTTTGGTAGCCCAGTTCCCCACCGCTTTTGGCCGGCACCTGGACGTCAGCCCTGGCAAAGGACAGTCGCTCCAAACCCAGCGTTTCCAGCCCGCATTTGGACTTTCACAGAGAACCCTGAGCTGTAGTTGCCTGCCCATCACAAACACCCCCAGAAAATCCCACCAGCCGCTGGAATAACCCACGGGAGTGCAGCCCCAGAGCCCCACCGGAGCCTGGTTGCGGGTCTTGGCCACCACCAGCCACGGCGGGTCCCTCTCCCAGCAAAACGCTCCGGGGAGCTGGCAGCAGTTTGGCTTCCAGCAGAGCCCGGCAGAGCGACGGGGAAAGCCCGGCGGCTCTGGAGCGACTGCTGGGAGCCGCAGGGATTGACCCCGCTGCTGCGGAGCCACATGAAACCGTTCCTGCTCCATGGAGCAGCGCGGGGCCAGGACGGCAGCCTGGGGCCCTCGGACCCCCCTTGCCCTTCTGGGGGACGGGGCCAGAGCCACAGCTGGCATTGGGAGGGCCGGGGGTCAAGCGTATTGCAGAGGGAGCAGGAAAACTCTCTGTGTGCTTGGGAGTTTGTGGATGAGCACGCGATGGCCGTGCGGGGTTTCTCGAGGGCACGTGGCAGGCTGAGCACAACGTTTGGGAGAAAAGACTGAAATATCCCTCAAAAACCTCCCAGCCTGGAGCCCCCTGCCCCTGCGAGCATCTTCCCCAGCTCTGCTCCCACACACTCAGGGCTGTGCAGACGGGGGGCGTCGAAGGCAGCTCCCTCACACCCCTCCCTTGCTCTGCTCCGCCTTTGGTGAGGGTGGGGGGCTCCCGGGCTCTGCACCCCCTCCGGTGCCAGTCCCGCTCGGGTCAGCTCCGAACATCTGTACATTGAGCACCCAAATATCTACAGAGTGCAGGGACCAGGCTGCTGGGTGAGTGTCCCCCCACCCCGTGCCTGGTTTTCCCACCTGCGAGGGTGAGCGGTACGTGCCCTGCAGGTCCCTTGCACCCATGGGTGCTCTCCTCCCAGCACGGCAGGTCTCTGATCCCCCCAAAGCACCCCAGATCCCACTGCCACCAGGACATCGGCTTACACTGGCTGTGCCCCCCCGTCTGTCCTCCCACAGCTGCCCCCTCCGTGTGGGAGGCTCTACAGGTGCCGGGGGTGAGCAGGAGCCGGGCTGAGCACCCAGACCCCCCCGGCACAGACCCCCCCGCCCTGCTGCTGGCCTGGGAACGGCCTGGCT